TACGTACCAAAAAAGCATCGAATCTGAGAATGTCTTGGTCTTGCCAAGCTTTGCTCAGGCTCGATGCAGCCTTCATGTGACCACGGTCAGTGTCGTCCATCCGTCGCGGGAACCGAAAGAACCGAACGTTCGGGAACCGAACGTTCGGGAACCGAACTCTCAGACGTACCGGGAACGGAGACCTGCTTCGGACACGTTCGCACTCAGCCATCGGCCATAGAGCGAACTATAGGAGTGGATCACGCCGATGAAGGTCGCGTTGTCGGACACCGTGGACTTCTGCAGATCCGAAAGTCCGGCGAAGCCGCGCGTTTGGAGGAGTGGTGCAGTTTGTTTTTTGCTTGGGGGGAGGTCCAAGCAGTCCGCCGTGCTTTGAGAACCGGAGAACTCAAACGACGCAGGCGCTGCCTGCATGTGACACAGGTACACCCGTGCTTCTAAATTGAGATTAGCTGGGCGCACCTTGGGTCTTCTCCAAGAGGTTCTCAGGTTGTGCCTTAGCACGCCGACGGCACGCCAGTCTGCACAGTGCAAAAGAAGCTTTTGTTAAGAAAAAGGTTCCTCTGATTCTCGACTGGAACTCTTTTCGTGCGTCTAAGTGTCCCGACGCCAGCTGCGGCACGCATTGGCCCTCACAGATTCCCTGTGCCTCTCAGGATGGTGCAGAAGCTCGCAGATGCCATCCACTCCCTGGAAACCGTCCACGGCGACATCAAGACAAAGTATCAGGATGGCCTTATCGAAGGCTTCTCTACGAAGTGCTTCCCCCAGCAAAAACGTACATTCCTGATCCACCAACTTGTTTGATCCAAACCGTCTTACATACACCGGCCGAGGGTGGAAGCGGACTGCAAAGAAAAAGTCATCGAAGCTCAGAAGCTGTTCCTGTCTCAGCGTCTTACCATGTTCAAACCCAGGAGCTAAACTTGATCAAGCGGGCCAACCTGAAGAGTGAAGAGTGTGGAATTTGTTCCGAGGTGTTTGGATGCTGTTGATTTGGAGGGACGGGCCAGGCTGGCTACCCATACGGACTATGACTATGACTTTCTACTGTCTATAGTTCAGCTGCAGGAAACAAAAGAAAAACTATACTTTCCTCTTCTCCCTTCGAGCCATCTGCCTCTAGGCATCTTCTGGTGAGAGCCGCCAAGGTTGACAAGCCTGAAGGTAAGGGCCGCCGGGCCAAAGGCAAAGCCAAGGCTAAGACCAACAAGGCTTCTGAGGAGCCTGCTCCCAGAAGGCCGAGGAAGAAGTGACCTCCAACCCTTTTTGTTCGAGTTGCATGAATTCGGCTGTATGTCAGTTGCGGCAAAGCCTTTTTGTCACGAAAGCTAGCGCCAGCTAGCTGGAGTTGCCCTTGCTTTAGCAAGTGAGGGGCTGGAATCCTCGAGATCGCCGCATCATGTGAATATTTCATATGCACGGCCTCCCCCCCCCCCGGCGGGTTCAACTCCACCCTGGGACGTCTCAATCGAGTGTCCTTGCCCTCGTCCCCGTACAAAAGTACAGGCACCGTCTTGTCAAGGGCATCGTTATGCTCAGTGTACACTCTATGACCAGGTTGGTATCCACGGAATGCATGCCACCATGATTTGAGAAGATGTGCCTGGTCTTGCTGATCCTGCAGGCCTCCAAACAAAATTGCAGGGCGCTTGTCGAGCAAGAACTGAAATAAATCGATTGGGTCAATGTAGTGCGCTGTCAGGTCTTCAGCACCATGAATGTGGTACTGGGCTTTGGTAATGGGGATGTCCCAAAGCAAACTCAAGCGTCGTATCATTGAATGGACATCACGCGAAGCATTCTTTTTGAAAGACGCCTTTTGCACATCCATGTCTTTGGCTTTTGAGCCATGGGCCGCCTGTTGAGCCGCTCTGCGAGCGATCTCATCCACGTGGCTAGCAGGGACCTTGGAAGTCACAACCGCAGAACAGTTTTTTGTTGATTGGTTCCTGGGTCCCAAGCTCCATCCGCCACTGCTTCAGCGAAAGATTCTACCAATGGTCATGACGATAGCGGTGATCACCTGGCAAAGGTGGTGGTAGGAAACCTGACTTGAGTGACGTGTGTTGTGGCCTGGCTCTTCACTTGTGGCTGATACTGACACCACAAAGATTTCAAGCACGATCCCTTTTGTTGCCAAGATCGGTTCTTCGGTTGCAGTGGCAAGTTCCACTCGTCATGACAAATTCGAAAAGGGCGAGGTATGTGGCATGACGCAGCGTCTCCGCGCTTGCGGCGACGAGCGTCGAAGTCGGTGATACCGCCGACTGCTCGCCAGCTGCCACACCCAAAGCCTGCAAGCGCACGGGGAAACAATAAGAGGAAGACAGCTAGTTGGCTCGGTTTGATTGGGATACTTTAACTGAGCTCACCACGCAGCTCAAAACCGTTCAGGTGCGCAGCCGGGTTTGGCTTTGCAACCTGCCCGATAAAGAGCCCGTGCTCTTGAAGAGCAGTCTGCCTCGCCCCGACAAAATTGAGCTAAGCGATGCAAGCACTGCTTGCTTACAATCTCGCCAAGGCCCAGGCACGGCCAACAGATTCCCGGAGACGTGGGTGTGGCAGGGCCATAGCCACGTATCCGCGAGGCATCTTCACCTGGCCGGGCACGATTGCGCGCATTTGTTGGGGGGGAGGTTGTTTCATTGGTCACAGCAATTCCACGCCTCAAGTTCCGGCGCGAAAGCGCAAAGCAAAAGATATTGCAAAAAGCTTGAAAGATCACGCTACGAGAGTGTTCAACTTCCACATGAGACGACCGACGAAGAACAAAGGCGTTCTGCCAGATGCAATTACAACAAATTAAACAATAAAATCAAGAATTAGCTATTAAACAACACAGCCCCAAACCCTACAAGTCAAGCGCGTGAAAAGTTTGTGGGAAAGCCCTTGGAGCCGCTGCGCTCAGGCCGCCAAATATCTTTTCCGTCGAGTGTTCTTCAGCTCCGCCGGCGACGCTTTTGCGTCCGGGCTTCCGAACTGATAGAAGCTAGCTGCTCATGAGGCTCCAGGCCCTCGCCGTCCGCCCGGCGCCCGTTTTGCAATCGGGCGTGGATCACCCGCGTCACCTCTTCCATCGGCCCGTACGCAGAAAGCCACTCCCAGCGGCCACAAAAACCAGGCCTCAAGACAAGGCACGTCCCAAGGTCTAAAGGAAGCTCTCCTGGACGACCGGCTGGTTGTCCAAGACCTCAGGTTGCACTCTTCATAACCTTGATGAGGAGCTGTAACCTGGAAGAATAGTCGCGCAGTAGTAGGAAGTAGAAGTAGCTAGTATACGGTAGTAAACGCGACGGGTGAGCCCGAAACGCGACCGACCCGCCAAGGCACGCGTAGGAGGACAGACCTGGGCGAAAGGAAACGCAACGGAGCGACGAAAGCTAGGTAATTAGTGGGTATAGGAGGTAAAGTGTACTAGGTGGTGGGTAGTAGACGTAACGACAGTAGTAGCAATAGTAGTGGTAGTAGTAGTAGTCGTCGTCGTCGTCGCCGTCGTCGTCGTCATTGTTGTAGTAGTAGTAGTAGTACGTGGTACACGCGGCATGGAGAGATATTTACATGAAGACTAGCGCTGCAGCCGTACTTACAAACTTAAACAAACAGTTTGCGTTTCTCCCCATCAGACGTGGGAAGTGGGACATACTGTTCTCGAGCAGGAATGCCACGACCTCGGATTTTTGGATTTCTGAATGGTGATTATCTTCAATCGTTTAAGGGCAAAATCTATTGCACAATTGGCAACTCTGTCCTGAAAGTTTGTTTCTACAACCATTTCCTAAAATTCATCCAAATCATTATATATTCTAAACCATTGTTCAATCGGGCAGTACACAAGCCTCTTGGAAGTAAATTATATATATGAATTGCTTTGGGGGTGGGAACAATGATAACAATGCAAAAGTTTGAGCCCTCAGAAGAAAATGTTGTATTGTATACTCTTAGTGCTAATGCTCTAGCGCTAGAGGTAGCACTAGCGCTAGTGCTACTCCTAACTACTCCTCTTCCTCCTCTTCCTCCTCCAACCTACTAGCAACCTCCAACCTAAGAGCGATGGCCTCCAACCTAAGAGCCATGCCCCTTAAAGCTAAGAGCGATGGCCTCCAACCTAAGAGGGATGGTCTCCAACCTAAGAGCAATGACCTCCAACCTAAGAGCGATGGCCTCCAACCTAAGAGCGATGGCCTCCAACCTAAGAGCATTTGAGTGGTGGCGAAAACCTCTTGACCATGGCTTTGTATTCCTACAGCCCTTTCGCTTGCTCCTGTTCCTCCTCTTCCTCCTCTTCCTCCTCTTGCTCCTCTTCCTCCTCTTCCTCCTCTTCCTCCTCTTCCTCCTCTTCCTCCTCTTGCTCCTCTTCCTCCCTCCTCCTCTTCCTCCTCTTCCTTCCCTTCCTCCTCCTCCTCTTACTGCTACTGCTACTGCTACTCCAACCCCTACCCCTACCCCTACCCTTACTCCTACTCCTCCTACCCCTACTCCTCCTGCTCCTACTCCTCCTACTCCTACTCCTCCTCCTCCTATTGCTCCTCTCTTACTCCGAATCCTGCTCCTACTCCTACTCCTACTGCTGCTGCTACTACTGCTACTACTACTACTACTACTACGACTACGACTACGACTACGACTATGACTACTACTACTACTACTACTACTACTACTACTACTACTACTACTAC